TTTGCTGCAAGACAGGCATATGTAACGATGACTTGGCGCAGATAAAGTCGTGTCTTATTTATACTCTGTTCTACTGACAACAGGCCAGCGAAAAATCTAACAATCTACAGCAAAACCATCAATTATTATGGGCGTTATAACGTAGGTGTGCAGCTGGACGAAACATACACGTCGAACCCCCCCAGACGATTTAAATCCCTGACGAAACATACACGTCGAACCACGGCAACGGGTTAACAACCTACAAGTCATAACTACAATTGATTATAACACTGTTGCGAGTTTTCACGCTTTATAATCCTATTCGCAATAATCTCTTCACTCTGTCTTCACACTGTTGCGGGGTTTTACACTTTATAATCCTATTCGCAATAATCTCTTCACTCTGTTGTCACACTGTTGCGGGGTTTCACACTTTATAACCCTATTCGCAATAATCTGTTCACTCTATCTTCAGTAGTCTACACATATTCACAGTACGGGAGCTATATAAGTGTCACTGCGTTACACGCTCCCAATTTCTTCTCAATTATCACAAACTATCGCTGATTAACACACGCGTCCGGTTCTTCTTTCCACAACTGCTGCTATACTCCAACTGTGTTGCTCCAGCTCACACACTATCTCGCTTACTGCTCAGCCGGCTTTTTATTCCGTTTGCTATTGCCNTGTAGCATGGGGGCGGAGCGCTGACTCACCTGCTATGTCACCGTGGCCAGAGCTGCCACTTCACTGCTGGGGGAGGGAGGGAGTGTCCTCCATAGCGCAACACATCACAGTATAATACCCATCATCATTAAGTCCCCACAGGAGATCGTCGACGACCAGACTCCACAGCAGAGGCGAAAGTACGCCCCCCTGCGGACATCCCTTAGACGCGGACGCCCCCAGGGTTTCTCCTGATAATGTAGCAGCTATGGTTCTGCTTTCCAGCATAGCATTGATCCATCTGCATATTGCAGGCTCTATGCCATGCCTTCCAGCAGCCTGTTTATTACATCAAATGAGGTTCTATCAAAAGCTATATCAAGGAATGCTCCTAAGGCAATATCCTTGTGTTCAATTGTACTTTCTCTGCATGTTACCACATTGTGTAGTGCACTTTTGGTAGATTTACCTGTTTGGTAGGCATGTTGGTTTCGGTGTAAAGGATATGTCCTCAATACCCCATCCCTGATATGCCTATCCACTATTTTCTCCATCGTTTTCAAAAGGAAAGATGACAGGCTGATAGGACGGTAAGCCTTAGCATCGGTATAATCAAGTTTCCTGGGCTTTGGAATAAACGTCACCTTAACTTGCCTCCAGGCCGTGGGGATGAAACCATATGCCAAGCAGGCTCTATATATGCGGCATAGGTGTGGAACTAAAAGTTCTGCCCCATGTTGGAAAAGTGCCGGTACAATTCCATCTGTTTCCACTGATTTAAATGGTCTAAAAGTGTTCAGTGCCCATCATATTTTTGATTGATTAATTATGACTTTGGCCAGGTTCAAATCTACCCTGTTCATCTTGCTTTGGCAGTGTCTCCTCCATGAGGATTGCTTGGCTTTCCTTATTACTTTCTTGTAACAGGTAAGGGCTTCCTTATAGGTGTCCCACTGCTCTGTTCTTTTAGCTGTATTGAACAGCCTTCTTGTTTTGATTCTAAGCCCACTCAGCTGGTTATTCCACCAAGGCGCTCTCCTTGGTCTGCGAGTGGTCTTAGCCGGACAATTCCGATTAAAGGACGAGATAATGGCCCATTGCAACTGGTCAGCGGATCTATCAACATCCTTTATTGTGCGTATATTTCACGAGATGATCTCTAGATTTACCTTTAGGTCGTCTTTGTAAGACTCCCAGTTGGTTCTCTTAGGATTCTTATAAGTAGCTTGATCCACTGTAATGTTACTTATTTGAAAGCATATATATCTGTGATCTGATAGGGATGGCTCATCAGATACATGCCAATTACTTACCAGGTTTCCTATGTTACTTGTGCCTAGT